AAATATTTAAAAAAATGTTTACCTTGTGCTTGTAATCAGAAAAACCAATAGGTATTTTTCTAATTTTACTTTAATAGGAAATTACCAAATACAGTCAAACCTGCCCTGACGGCCACCTCTATAAGACGGCCACCTGTAAAACGGCCACTTTCCATTTCCCCCCTTGCGTTTTTTCCTATATATAATTTAACTGTGTAAAATGGACACCTGTCCAACTCGGCCGCGGCCACCATATTTTAGCACACAACCCCTATCACACCAAACAAAAACACTTGTCTTAGACGACCACCTTAGTGACTCCATTACGTTTTGTCATAAATTGTGCTTTGGCCCCTGGCGTTGTGGGGGGGGGAGCCGTCATAATTAAATCACCTGTTGTTAATGTACCTCCAACTCCAACCGATCATGTTGCGAAGGCCCCTCTCATTATTGACCAATAGGTAAGAACTGTTCATCTGCTGGTGGGGTAAGCGTGTGATCCCTTGATAACCCATAAGCCCTGCCAAAAACTCAAACAAAAATCGTGAGATGAGTGGTCACTGTTTACCCTGTCTGTAACAAAGTAACAATGGACGTCACCATGAACTTGTGACAGAAGCGTCGCTTGTTCTCCTCGTGGTGGCGACCCATGTGTTTGTTTTACCATAGCACTTGGTCCTCCTTGTCTGACACTTTTCCTTTCATTGTCGCCCTCGCACAAAAGCAGCAACTAAAGAAAAAAAAAAAGAAAGAAAAAACCCCCAGCAAAAACAACAGCAACAACAATAACAACAACAACAATGCAGCTACTTTCGAGAGACCTCAGAGAGGAATGGTTTGGGTTTTTTTTTATCTTGATCAGTCCTGCCCAAGACACCAACTGTCTTATACGGCCACTTTTCTCCTCGACAATGGGTGGCCGTCTTACACAGGTTCGAGTATTACCAAATAATGTTCCAATACATATTTCCCAGACAAATACCTCCTGTAGATGCTCCTGTCTGTGGGTGCTCCTCCGGCTAGTCCTGGTGACGAAGACATGTCAATTAATACAATTGCCTTGCGTCTCTACAGTTTCCGTTTTTGTTTCAGAAAAATAAAGAGTTGATATTATATTTGTACTACTGGTTTAAAAGGACATTATTAGACATCTGTAAGTAAATACGTTTTTTATTTTTCCTTTTCAGCGAAATACAATTAAAAGCCTTAGAGCTTGAAAATTGTTTCAAAATAAATTCCTTTATTTTTCTAACTTAACTTCAATGTTTAATTACATTATGCTATTTGGACTGGGACATCTGACTGCATTTCATAGAAAGACAGAACAAAATGGTTCGACCACCTGTTACGTATGGTACCTAGCCAGCCAGCCTTGAGAACCTATAACACCAAGCACTCAAGCTATAAAGGAAGAGGAAGGTCACACAAAGGGTGGATTGAAGTTGTCAAGGAAGCCCTGATAAATCATAGTATCCGAACTGAAAGAGCTGCGGAGCTAGCCTACCATAGAAAAATGCATCTCCCCTCTATGCATAATGGCAACAGAGGATGAAAAAGTAAAAGTAATTGATCAATAATGTTCCAAGACATATTTCCCAGACAAATACCTCCTGTAGATGCCCCTGTCTGTGGGTGCTCCTCCGGCTAGTCCTCCTGTCCGCGGCTGGTCCTGGTGATGAAGACGAGTCAATTAATACAATCGTCTTACATCTATATAGTTTCCATTTTTCTTTCAGAAAATAAAGAGTTGATATATTTTTACTACTGGTTTAAAAGGACATTAATACAAATCTGTCAGTAAATACGTAGGCCTCTTATTATTTTCTCTTTTCACCTAAATGTAAAAATAAAACTTTTACCTTTAAATCAAAAGAACCGATAGATACTTTTCTTTTTTCTTTTTTTTTTCTTTGTAGAGGTTTTACGGCGCTCACAACTGAATAAGGTCATATGACCACCATGGGGTGGATGTCAACAGATACGTTTTAAACAGGGAATCAGACTTACTCTGCTCACCTCTCTGGCTTCAACAGCACAAAGTCTCTTTCGACTTTCAAAGCACCCCGGAAACAGTGGGTCACAAGAGTGACAAACATAAAAAGTAGAGGAAAATAACGATAGTAAGAATTGGAAAAGTAAAAGAAGCAGTTCCCTTTTGTAGTTCAGACACAGTTATGAGCATGACATCGTTGAATCTGCCCTTTTACAATTCTACTGTACATAAGAACTGGAGTAGGATCAGACTCGCTAAATCAGCGTCCGTGAGTAACGAAGTGCTCGCTGGCACTACCCGCAAACAAGCGGACGGGTAACGAGCCATCCGCTTGTGAAGAATAGTTCGCTACTCGCTACTCATCGGACAGAGACAACAGTTCATTTAGCCAGCGAGCGGACGGGTGGATGGAGAGACTCCATGCATTCAAGCAGGCAGGCAGACGGACGGGGAGCGACTCCTATTGCATACTATTTACACCCTGCCCCCTCGTAAAACATTCACCCTCCTGCCCCACATTGTAGCTAGGTGTTCATGCTGGAAACTGCTCTCCCCTCCTATGCCTAACTAACAAACAATAGACGGCCGGCCTAACATCGAGTCGAGTATCTCGTGTGCTAGAGTTAGTCCGTTCGCCTGCCCGTTAAGTGAATTAAATAATGGAGCGGACCAAAAAAAAAAAGAACTGACTTGAGGTCCGCAGTCTGCTCGCTGAGAGAGTAAAATTGTGCAGTGGACCCAAAAAATGAACTGTCTTGAGGTTCGCAGTCCACTCGCATGGCCGTCCGTTACCTGCTCGCTCTGACAGTCCGCGAGTAACGAACCCGTCCATCTGCTCGCCCCAACTCTAATAAAAACGAGAAGGGTGGGGGGGGGGGGGGTATTTTTAAAATTTTGCTTTAATTATAAATTAACAAATAATGTTCCAAGACATTATTTTCCAGACAAATACCTCCTGTAGATGCTCCTGTCTGTGGGTGCTCCTCCGGCTGATCCTCCTGTCCGTGGCTGGTCCTAGTGATGAAGACATGTCTTTACTTTACTTACT